TGAAATAATCACAGGTAATCTAACAAGAGACGTATGAGCTCAAATGGAGTTTAGTTCAGTTTTAGCACAGCAAATTGTGTGCAGCAGATTTCTATTTTATCTCTAGCCACTTCCTTTCAGTTTTCAGTACATGCAGCATTTGTCCATGTTCTATAGTTCTATGTTCTACAAAGTAGCTTTAATATTTATATCATTATTATTTATAAAAAACATAAATTAGCAAGTAAAAACAAATGAACAATTTTCAGTAGTATTTGAAATTTTATTTAAACTAATGCATCAGTAAACTCAAATACCCTGTTATTTCACCACACACACACACACACGTCATTTCTAGCTTCTTGCCTCACACTATGCCACAATGTGTTACAATACTTTATTTACACTGTAGAAACAAATGTTTTCAATAACTTTACCCCATGATCACCAGAAACACACTTTTTATAACGTGCTTTTTCTTACTCCAGATTTAAGGAATTTATGACTAATTTGTCATATTATTCAGCTTAGGTATTAAAAAAATATATTTAAAAAGGCTTTAAATGGGGAAAACAAAAATATAATATAAGTAATGCAAATCAAAACCAAAAAAGCATTTATTTTCTTCAGATTTTAACGTCATGTGTTTTCACGTGGTAATGAGATTGGCTAAACATAATCAAGAATCTTATCAAACTAACTTAAAATATTAATTTTTGGTACACAAAATTAAATATTTAATATCAGTGGGCTCAAATTTTCTAACTTTTCTGCTTTATCTTTATGCAAAACTCCTCCACTGGATGAAGTGTGCTGCACAGATCAGTAACTGAATCGCTTCGTATATTTTTACATGAAACGTCAAAAGGCATGTCAGCCTGTTTACTGTAGATCTGCACTGTGCATGATGGAAGTTGAGTGAATTAACGTTTTGCATTTTTTTTCCCTGGCATTCTTATAGAACACAAGATGGCAGCACAGGAAAATGTGTTGTTTCCAAAGTGACCTGCAGTAAAACTTGGGGGGGATGAAAATAGGAGATAGAGAAATAGTGATGAGGAAAGAAGAGGCTGAAAAAAAGGAAACATAATGTAGCAAATAGGACAGAATGTGGAAAATATGTAAGCCTGCAGGGAGAAGGTAAACTCAAGAGGTTAAAGCTGACGCAAGACTGGGTTAATGCAGACACACACACAAAACAACCACACATTTACTCACACACCTGAAGTCAGTTTGTCAATGTGACAAGTCTGTTTCAAACATTTATAATAAAAAGAAAGTAAAATATGCTGATAGAAAAACTGTTGATTCATTTGTCTTTCTGCTTTTATTGTTTAGGTTTTCCAAATAATTAGAATAATTCCAGATAATCTGACAAATATTCCAATAGGCTCAAGTGGGTTATAAAGGGCAAACAAAAAAATAAACCACCCTGAAATTCTATGTATTCTCACAAAACGCCAGCAGATGGCAGGATTTGTTTAGCTATTTCCTGAAAACCAACAACGTTTAACTCAACTTGGCTAGAGGTGGGTTGATAAACCTCTCTAGGAATTCACATTTAGAAAGTATTTACCATTTAGGATGGTATAACAAGACCAAAACTAGCTGAGTGTCATTATCTTAGCAGCTTTAGGATGATTTGATCAGCTGTGTCAGAAATGGGTCCCAAAAAACTAGAACTGAGTCCAGTTTAAAGAAAAAAAAGTCCAATTCAGTTCATTTGCGTCACTGTTTTGGGCAGTTTTAAATGCAAGAATGTAGACTGACTCAGAGAGCTTGGGAAAAATAAAATCTGAATTCTTAATTTTAGTCAAACAAAATAAATTGTCTGACAGGGGCAGCAAGGGAAGTGAACACTCCCAATGCTCTAAGGATGAAAAGAAAACAGATTGGCTATATAAATTGAGGCTGATGAGGAGATTGAATGCAGCTGAGATGATGAGACAAGGAACAGGTGAGAGTGTGAGTGACATGACTGAAGAGCTGGAGCTGAACTGAGGAAAAGTACTGGAAAAATGGACTGAGAGTGGGGAAAATCGGGACTCTCCTTTTCTTCCTTGCTTTCAGTGGAAGGCATACACGCCTTCCTCTGGTCCGTCCCTGCCTTGCTCTTCGTCTTGTTAACCTTTTTCAGAGCCCTTTTTTGCATACCTTCGAATTGTTAATGATGGATTTGATCAGCTGGTCTCTCAACGAAACTGATCATTTTTTAACAGGTAGTCAGGATGAAGGAGAACCCTCTTACCTCGACGGAAACATAATTGGATCTATGATGACTGGATTTTACTGTTCGGAGTTGGTGAAAATCTGGATTGTCGACAAATTATGTGGAGAATGTGCCGAGCTCGGCAGCACTCACACTATGTGTGAACTATACGTGGTGCTGTATCAAGACTGTGGAGCTTTCTGGTAGTGACCATGAATGATTGGAAGGAATAAATCTTGGAGCAAATGTAAGCTCGACTTGGCGTAAGTAATCAAATGCGGCTGTTTGGAGTCGCCATGAGAGAATGTACTAGCGAGACTGTTAAGGCAGACATGGAGATTTACAAGTTCAGCCTGACCCAAAAACAATGTTGATATCTGAATCTGGACCTGGTTTTGGAAGGCAGATTATCTCAATTCCTCCTTGGATGTTATGGAAACAAAGATGCTCTGTCCCCTCCCCACCCACTCCCTTCAATAAGGGCAGCGCTTCTTAGAAGCTGCAGCCACTGTACACTTCTGCCCATCTTTAGAACGGCTGTATGGAAAGTAATTTCATCACTGTGCAAGGATAATAAAATGCATTCTGATTCTCACAGTACACAGAAAATGCTCCGGAAATAAACAAAACAAACAAAGAACACAAAAGACCACTAAAGAATAAACAAAAACACTGAAACTGAAATTCTCAATATTACCTCATTTGTGCTTATTTGTCCATCCATCCATTAGCTTTACCCGCTTCTTCCATTTTAGGTCATGGGGGTCGCCGGTGCCCATGTCCAGCAATCACTGTGTGAGGGGCGGGATACACCCTGGACAGGTCTCCAGTCCATCACTGGGCCACATAGAGACAAACGAGACAAACAACCATTTACTCTCTCACTCACACCTAGGGACAATTTAGAGTTACCAATCAGCCTAACATGCATGTTTTTGGTCTGTGGGAGGAAACCGGAGCACCCGGAGAAAACCCACTGCCTGCATGGAGAGAACATACAAATTCCACCCAGAAAGGCCCCTGGACCGGGATTTGAACCAAGGACCTGCTCATTGAGAGGCAGCAGCTCTACCAGTTGCACCACCGTGCTGTCCTTGTACTTATTTGTGTTAAAAATAATTGAATACATTTTTGGAATTGGCTTTTTAATATATTACATCACTTTTTCTTGTACATTTACTAAAAATAGAAAATGTCTAATGTTAAAACATATTAAAAAGTTATAAATACAATGTTTGAATAAAATAATGTATTTGCAGTACCATATCGGGGAGTGATGGCACAGAGGTTAGAGAAGGTGGGCCTGTGATCGGAAGGTCGCCAGTTCAACTCCCCGTACCGACAACATCAAAATGTGGGTGGGAAAGGTGAAACACCCATACCTGCCTCCACCCCCATTTGCTCCACTCTGGGCCCTTGAGCAAGGCCCTTAATCCCCACCATCAATTCCCCGGGCACTCTAGATGGCAGCTCTCTGCTCCACACAGAGGGCTGTGGTAGCTCGGTGGTTTGTGGTTGAGTCAGGAAGGACATCCGGTTTAAAAACATTCACCAAATCTTCGTGCGAGTTAGTTCACTGTGGCGACTCCTGAGGAAGGGAGCAGCCGAAAGAAGAAAACATTTGCAGTGCCATATATTTCTCTAATTTCTTCTTTTTTTTAAAATTTTTTTAGCTTTGTTGTTTTTAATGAAATTGATAAATTATTAGATTACTGATTGATGAGGAGTGAAACACCGTTGTGTCCAAATTTACGATCAACACAATTTTTATCGTTTCTTTGTTCATTTATTTTGATTTGTAGTGTCCTGTGCTCTTTTTATTTTATTTTTTGCATACCCACATAGACCTTCTTCCCTGTAGCCTCTGACAGACAGTGAATCTGCACATACACACACATAACAGCAAGCACACACACTTCCTTCCGGGGGCCGGTCTGTTGTCAGTCGTTGCGTGTTGGTTGCAGCTGTAGTCTGCGTTGTTTTGACGTCAGGCCCATCGATCCTGGTCCAAGTGCACACAGACAGAAACGGGCTGTCAGAGAGAGGGTAAGGTGGGAGGGAACCTGGTGGGGGATGAGAGGGTAGTGTGAAACCACAGTGGTTTTCTGTTCAGGGCAGGACGCAGAGAAAGGCACGCGCTACAGAAAATATTTATACTAAACATAAGTTGTGCAGGGCATGCAGTGTTGAATCTGTTCTCAACATGGGCTGTCACAAGAAGTGTTCTCCCATGTTTTTATTTCTCGTCACCAACTAATTACGTCTTTCACCGCTGGGCAGACTTGGCTCACTGCAATGGCATAAGGTAGGGTGAAATGAAGAGTGTTTGTTTGCCACATTTGTGCATTTTCTGTCTTAATTCTTCATGTCGTGTGGTTTTACAATGCCTTTCTGTGCGTGTGTCAACATGTCTATATAGGTAGTTCAGGTATTTGTCAAGCAGAAGAGCCTAACGCACCGACTTCTTGCCTCATAGTGTCAGGAGAACCAAGCTGGAATCCATGTGACTCCACAAAGAGCTGCAGGGATTGGCTGAGGTCAGCTGTGACCTCAGCATGCAGCTTCTGTCCCTCCTCACAAACACATGAAATCCTCTCTCCCTCCCTCCCTCTCTCTTAGTCTCTCCCTCTACCCTGCCTCCTCTTTTTTTTCCTTCCACTGGCTTTTTTCGCCACTGCTCAGCATCCTCGGCTGCGTGTAGGTTAGAGCTGCAGCAGCATCACTTCTTGTAGCATCCATGGCTTAAACCTCAGCTCATATCGACACCTAGCCTGGGCCCTGCCCTTCCTCCTTCCTGCCTTTTTCTCTCTCTCATCCTTGCATGCTGGTTGACAGGTGACGTCTGCGGGGTGCTGGAGGCTCTTATTGAACCAGGGCGTTAGCCACAAGCGCACAGCTGCTCTTCTGCCCATCAATTCTACTGTTATCTGTAATCGGGAGCGACTTCTCCTCTCCCCCTCCTCATACGTCCTGCTTTCATTTCAGGCTCCTTGGAGATAGAGGAATGCAAATCTGCAACCATGATGGAAGGTAAGGTTTTATTATTATTACTATTTTTCCTCCCTCAATATATAGGGTAATCCTTTCCCATGTCCTTGTTCTACAGTGTCTCATGCTGACAAGAAGCTCATTAATGTGTGTCTGGGAGGTTCAGATGTTGTACACCACCCTGTCATTTTGAGTCCATACATTTCAGTGACTTGCATGTTATTCTTAGGAAGGGACACAGCCACAGAATGTCAACCACGGCGGCACAATGGCGAAGCTAATTGAAGCATGTACCTTTTGTGACTGTGTGTGTGTGCATATGTCTGAGTGACCCCCCCCCCCCCCCTCCATTCTTCGCTTACTACCGTAAAGGATTATTTAGATTTTTCATGCAGGACAGCTTATATGCCCAGCTGGCTCGCTTGTATAAATTCTCTTTGTATGATGTGCACTGAAATGGATGATCTCCCTCACTGTATCCTCTGTGCTCACACTCCGTGTTCTCATGAGGGCCGGATGTCTTTAAGTTCATTACATTCACACCGTAGTTGAAGTTATTCATTTCTGTTGGATACAGCAGTTATAAAAGAGGTATACTGAGCATTTTTGTATGATGTCCCTTTAATTGATGACATCATCACAGGCAGGCCGGTGAGACCGGGATGAATCCCTACGGCTCTGCAGCTGGCATATGAAACCCTCAACCCATCTGTCCTGTTTATCTTTTGTTTTCTGTCTTTTAATACCTTAAGACATTCTTTATTTAGTAACTAATTGTTATTCATATCATCTGAACAAAGTGAAGGTCTTTTTATGTTCAACCTTGAATTATGTAAGAACTGATATGATGCTGCAAACACAACGTACCACTCAAAGTGTTTGCACAAGAAAAACATGGTGATTATTGCTTACCATGTGTTTAGAAGTACATTTTCTTGACGCATACTGACATTTAGAACTGTTTGTCTTACATTTCCAACATAAACTCAACATTCGAAGTATTCTGCTCAGGAAAAAAATCACATTAGCAGGTTGTTTGGTCGTGTGTTTGTTTAGAAATGAGTGGATGGAATTGCTCATTTCTTGTTGAAGAAGGATGACTGTTCGGAGTAAACGTATTGTCTTAATCCACTTTGCTGGTTTTCATGTCTAGAGTATTTGCTTCCAACACCATTTCAAATATATAGCACTAACAAATAAAAATAAATGAAGTGATATCATCACTCAATCAAGTGGTATTTTAGATGTGGTAAACTCCAAGCCATGTTGAAAATATTGTTTGTACATCACTATAATTTGGATCGTTTGGCACATAGCCTGATGTTTTTCATCACTTAATTCATGTGGAAAGTCTGTGGCTGTTCCATCAACACGGGCTTGTCTGAAGTGTTTGGTTGTGCTGTAATTCCGGGCTGTAATGGAAAAGGCTAAAGTTAGCTGGGCAGGACATGGTTGTAATGACAGCAGTCATCAGCATCGTCATTGTAGGTTAAACACCAATACGCAACAATAAACCACTCAACTGGTAAAGATTTCTTGATGTGTTTATGCTGCTTCTGCCCCAAGGTGGATTTGTCCCTTACACACATAAAACAATAATGTGCTTCTGCACATTATGTTTATGAAGGTATAGCAGCACAATACATGCCTAACTGCACGTCTAGATTTAACATTAAAATCAAGTTTCGGTCTCAAGATGTAAAATTCTTGAAATGTTTAGGTTACTCGTGTTCTCTGGTATGTGGACATTTTAAAAGTTTTCAATGTTTATTTATGTGTTTATCAGTCATCTTTCTCCCCTTGGTGAGTGATATTCACAGTTGTGATTAAACTGATTGCTTAGTTTTCCCAAGTCACAAAAAGTGGAGTTAGTTCAGCGTAATTCATCTATTTGATGAGTGCAAATTTCTTCAATAAAAGCGTTTCAACTTGACCGCTTTAGTGGGAAATGATGAGCTAATTTATTATTTTTTTCACTTCCTGCTAGTGTTGCAGCATGCAGGAGGGAAACGTGTTTAAAATGTTTCCCCTTCCGTTAGCATGGCTAGTACAAGCTTAGCATAGACTGTGTTATAGTAGGATTACAGTCAGGTGTTAAAATTGGATGCTAATCCTTGTTAGCTCTGCTTTTTAAAGCCCAAGGCCGTAACCAACATGGTAGTCTCTTACTGACACACAAGGATAAAAGATGTTGGTAGGTTACCTAATTTTAATTACCAGTGGAAGAGATGAGCAACCTCCAGCTCATGTGACTTATTATTTTCTTCTCTCCACAATATGATGAAAAGAAGACAGCTGATGCAGAGGACTTGTCATACAGTATAAACTTAAATAACGAGGCTACCTCTGCAAATCTGTGGCTTGATAAAGATGTATTGTTTTTAACAGTAACTTTGGATTTACAGCAAATGAGCATCTTGCTCAAGTTCTGACACTTCCGTCCTCCCAATCTTACATGGAGTTAGACTTTAAAATGAGTCATCTAATAGCATTTCCTCATCTCTAACTAGTTGCAACTTATAGCTACTTTTTTAGCTTGTGTTTGGATTGTGGCATGATCTAATAGCTTGTAGGTGTTATTTTCATTCCATTGTTTGTTTATGTCTCATTTTTAAAAGCTTTTATTTAACAGTAAGCTATTACTTTACTCAACAGCTCTGTTTGCTGTTGTACTTTCACAATTTTAACCAATTCATCACAATACAGGGGTTATTTTAGAATTATTTACTACTGCATTTGACTACATCAGGTCTAAATTGTACTTCTTCTGGATAGCACTGATGATTTCTGAAAATCAGACACTAATTCACAATTTAGGAACTTTTGTTGAAGATGTTCGAAGAAACACTTTTCAAATGTATATAAAAACAGCATAAAATATGGTTGTGATCATTTACTGACATTATAGAAGAAGGGTTAGTCTATATTACAGTACAGAGGGTAAATAAAGTATGGTGTTTTGGCATTTGATGATATTTAAGGCACAAATCCTACATATTTTATTGTATTCGTGTGAACCTAAATTTTATTCTGCTCAAAAGTTTGTATACTTACACTCTCTAAAGTGCCATAAAATATAACTTGGCAGTGAAAGTCCATTAAATTGTTAAACTTCCATAGAACTTTGGTTAAATTGCATTTTGCCCAGTCAAACACTTGGATGATTTCCAAAAATCTGAATTGTTCCATTTTACATTCCAAATGTCTTACTGACATTGTGGCCTTTCTTTTATAGCTAAAAATAAAAACATATTGTATTTAAAAAAAAAAAAAACATTCATTATGCTTCATACTCTATTTTCTCACGCACCACAGACAAAATGTTTTGTACTTTAGACATGCTTATGTTTACAGGGAAAAGTCTTCTAAATTCTAATGACCCTGTGGCATTTCCTGTGTTTCTACCAAAGAAGAAAGTTAACAGTGCAGTCTCAAGACTGATAAGACTCTAACAATAAAAAAAAACATCAGCATGTATACATTTAGTAGGTTGTATGGAACAGTTGAGTTTACCAAAGACACTCGTTGGGCTTTAGACACATGGTCTTGTTAATCCTCGTTACTATCAGAAGGAATTAGACTGTCTCACTGAGCTCGCTTGGCTGAAACTTGGATAAACCCCGAACTGGAATGTTCAAAGCAGCGAGCCATATGGTGGGCTCCACTTTATTACTTTAAATCTCTTCACTGAATTTACTTGAAGTTTTATATCATGATATTAAACTCTCACAGTTCCTTAAGTAGTACAGTGTATAACTGACATGTGAAATTTCTTAGAACAAAGTTGGAAATTATTTTTAGCTATAAGAATAGTTTTGTGTCAACTGATAACATTATTTGTACTTTTTAGTTGCAGATTTTTCCTTTTATTTAATTATTTTGCAAAAGCATCATAACGTTGCTACTAGTGAAGGAAGCAATGCTTGATATTATGTGCCTGATACAAGTGCTTAGACATCATTTTAACTATATATATATACACACACAGTATAATGGAAAACTTTGACATATAGAAGTGATTCAATTTAATTGCCATTTGAGGTGATCAAAAATACAAACAACCTACATGAGGATTTCAGTGAAAATCTTATTTTAAAGCAAAAAAAAAAAAAAAATATAATAATAATAATAATAATAATAATAATAATAATAATAATAATAATTTAATTGCCATTTGAGGTGATCAAAAATACAAACAACCCACATGAGGATTTCAGTGAAAATCTTATTTTAAAGCAGATTTAGAAGATTGAGAAGTATTGTTCAACAGTCAGGCTTGATCAACACACATTCAAAAAATATACTTTTCTTTCCCGTATTCCTTTAACAAGCTTGTTGTGAAAACTTGACTCATTTAACTTCACCCCCCAAAAAATAAATAAAATACAATAATACATTAACATAGTGCCACAGATAACCTTGATAGGTAAAAAGTATTAATCTAAAATCACAATCTCACTCACAATCTACATTAAGTAATGTAGGTCAGATCTTCCCTGATGCATCCTTACATTTCTATGCCGATGACACAGTTGTTTATTGCAGAGATAAAACAGTTGCAAAAGTTTTCCAGCTTTTACAATCTGATTTTGACATCATCCAGTCAGATTTATTCCATCTCAAACGTGTGCTAAATGTTGATAAAACCAAAGGGATGTTGTTTTCAAACAAGAAGTCGGTCCCAGCAGTTCTTTTTTCGATTTTATCCTCGAATGGTGTTCCTATTGAGTTTGTCGATTCCTACAAATACCTGGGTATCTTGGTCAACTCACATCTCTTTTTTTAAGCCCCATGTAGAAAACTTGATAAAGAAACTGAAACTAAAACTGGGTTTCTTTTTCAGAAATAGAACCTGTTTAACTCTGAATGCTAGGAAACACCTTGTAACTAAGACTTTCTTTCCCTCCATTGACTATGGTGACATTATTTTACATGAACGCTCCTGCAAGTATCTTGCAGATGTTCGATGCTGTCTATCACGGTGCGTTAAGATTCATAACTGGCTGTAACTATCGTACCCACCACTGCACCCTGCTTTCACT